GAGTTTTGTATGCTGGAGGGCCAGTTATCAGTGGGACATCTTCCTTTTTCCCAAATGGCTAGATCGCAGGAGTCATGGAGCTGTCTGTCTCTTGAAGAAGGGCTGTTCACACGAGTTTTGTATGCTGGAGGCCCAGTTATCAGTGGGACATCTTCCTTTTTCCCAAATGGCTAGATCGCAGGAGTCATGGAGCTGTCAAGAATTAAATTTTTTAAAAAATTACGACACGACAATTTTCACCAAAAAAGAAACACTTTTAAACCATCCCCTTAGCATGCCTTTGTTACGCAGCAGTCATCCAAAACATTTTAATGTTGCATGAAACCCCAAATGTCCTATTCTCTCAAATGGATACTCTTTTGAAAGTGGGAGATTGAACGTTTTTGAACTTCGGATACAAAAAGGTCTGAGTTCAAATACCACTTTTGTCACTTACTAGCTGCATGAACTTGGGCAGGATACTTAATTTCACTGAATCTCAGTTTTGTCATGTGTAAAATAGAAATAATAACATCTAATTTATGGGGCTATTTGATGCAATAATGCATGTAAGGTAAGATATGCTTCACAAAGTGGAACACAGGAAGATGTCAGTAAATAGTAGCCATTATTATTTTATTTTTATTTTTTTAAATAAGAATTTTGAAAAGAATATTTTCTCTAAATGGTTCATTTCAAAGCTCCATATGGTCTTTAATATGGACCACCTGAGCCAATTGTGTCACATGAAAAAATTCAAGCTGTCCTGTGACAAAGTACTCAGCATTAGAAATGTTGCATACAAATGTTAAGAATGAAAATTTTAATTTTCCTTTCTCATACCTGTACAGTGGCACAGTGATCAAATGTGATGATCTGTAAGGCAGTCCCACATGAAAGGGTTCAAGTTGGAGACCTCTCTAAGGACACTGTGCACACACTTGCCCAGAATCTGAGGCTGAAGGTCGGGGGTAATTGCGACATCAAGACCCTGTTTCTTTCTCACTCTTCCTCATGGAAGAAATAAGTACATTTTCAAACTTTTTTTTCCCTTTTTCTAGTAACTCTTTTAGAATCAGGTTTGTTTGTTCTTTCTGCAAGCACCTTCATTTCAAATGGAATGAAACTTCTAGCAAGTTTCCTGATGCCTAGAGCTCTAAGGTATGACAATGTCTATATTCTCTCTCTCTCTCTCTCTCTCTCTCTCTCTCTCTCTCTGAGAGATTTTTGCTATAGGACATGGGTGCTCACTGGAGAGACAGACAGAAAGTGAGAAATCATATCCACCTCTCCCCGCCCCCCAGAGGGGATGGCCATGCCGCAATTCCTTCTCCTTCATTCTCCTCTTGGGATTTTGGCCATGCATGCACATGCACCTGGTTTGAGTTTCAAGCTGCCGGGTCCAGGACTCAAACTGACTGCAGTCAGCCATGTGGGAGTCCAGCGACATAACTCCAACACCATCTGCAGGTCCCAACAATGTCTACATTCTAATATCCTAAAGTTCCAGGAAGTTCAGGTGATTATATATAATCAAAAATAAGAGTACTTTGTAGAAAACATCTGTGTTTAAGATAATATGCCTTAAGGGACCAGCAGGTGGCATGGTGGTTAATGCACTGGACGCTCCCATATGGTCGACCATGGTTCAAGTCCCGGACCTGGTGGTTTGCTTTCTCACCTTCTCTGTCTCTCTGTCGCTTTGTGTGTCTCTCTCAGGTCAAATTAAAGTGAATGAATAAATAAAATTAAAGAAATAGTTCTTTAAAAATTGTTTTATAAAAATAGTCACAGGGTGGGGGAATGGCCCTTCACAGAGCTCCTCTGAAGTCATAATGCATCGTAAATTTATGCCTCATACTTAAGAGGAGTGAAATGTATCAATCGGAGTTTCACAGTAGAAAATGGAAGTGCCCTAGGTACTTCAAGCAAAATGGGCTCCGAGCCTGTGATTCATGTGCTTACAAAAATCATTGGCAAAAACAGACCACACTGTGGGGGCCAGCTCCCCACAGTCATAAAGGTGGAGAATCAAAAAACCCTCAAACTACTGTCTGCAGGAGCACCTTCGATGCAAATTGGGCCTCCTTTGCCTCGCTGCTCACTCAGAAGCACGTCTCATGTCCTCGTCTGTGCTGGCTATAAGGGTCCTTCCATGCTCCTGACCCCCCAGGACCATGTGCTGCATCTCCAGGGCCAAGGCTGCCAGCAGAAAGACAGAACGGTGCCCTGGGCTAGCTTCCACATCTTGAGAGCACATGAATGTAAGGAACACAAATCATACCCAGAATCCTATCTACAGGAGAGTTTGGGAAAGGAACTCTCTTGTGAAGATACAGGGAGGCGTGCTGGACAGAGCTGGAAATGAACGCTGAGCACATGTGGGTGGGGCAGTCTGGGCTCCGAAGCCAAAAGCTAAATGTGCATTTCCCACCTGCCCCTGTTAGTAGCTGTGTGATTGTGCAAATGCTCTCTGTTCCTTCACATAAAGCAAGGAGGTTGACCCACAAATGCCCTGGTAAAATCCTCCTGTCCCTTACCTCCCAAGAGTGTCTTTGTGGCCACTGTCCTTTCTTGAAAGATTGCTCCATCTAGAGTAGAGCAGCTGGATTGCAGCTGTTTTCTACTCACAGAAGTCCCAACCTCTCCCACCTTGGGACTTTAGAATACATGGGACATTTAGAGGAAAAACAGGCAAAGCATTAATGGGACAAAGAAATGTGGTATTATCTGTTGAAGATCATTTTATAGTTTTATCAACTGGTCTACGGAGAAATGTTTACATGTTGAAATATTCACTTTGTAGGCTAAATAATGTGATTGAATGTATAAAAAATGAAATAAAAAAAGTTAAAAAAAATTAAAAATAAATTTAAAAAAAATAGTACATGGGAGGGACCAGCAGTTAGCGTAATGGCTATGTCGCTGGACTCCCACGTAGTCGACCGCGGTTCTCGTCCTGGATCCTGTGGCTTAAAACTCATGCCGGGCGCATGTGCATGCGTACCCAGGATCCCGAGAGGAGAATGGAGGAGAAGGGATTGCAGCATGGCCATTCCCCCTGGGGGATGATTTCTCACTTTCTGTCTCTCTGTCTCTCTCTGTCTGTCTGGCGAGCGCACACGCCCTATAGTGAAAACCTCTCAAAAAAAAAAAAAAGAAAAGAAAAAAGAAAAAATAGTATATGGAAACTGGCTGCAGGTCGAGTAGGGTGAGGAAACATTGGCAGAGCTGGAGTTCTCTGATCCCACATCTAAATTTCTTGGCTTGTATAGTAGGTACTGCCTTGGGCACATCTTTGGTTGCCTGAGAGCATGTGCACTCAGCAGTTAGAGAGCAGGAGAGGAGAAGAGAGACAGTTCCCCACAATGGGGCATGGTCACACTGCAGTTTCTTCTCCTCCATTTCTCTACCCTGTCTGGATTTGGGGCATGCATACATATGTGCCCTATATGATTTCAAGCCACCAGAGCTGGGATTCAAACTGCTCACCACTGTATAGGATCTGGCTCACTTAACTGAAAGTCCATGGTATTATCCTCCCTAGGAAAATCTTTAAGACAACCTGTGAGTGGTGATCTTTTTTTTTTTTTCCCAAGAGGTTTTTGCTATAGGGCGTGTGCACTCTCCAAGAAGACAGAGAGAGACAGAGAGACAGAAAGCAAGAAATCACCCCCGGGGGTTGGCTACACCGCAATCCCTTCTCCTCCATTCTCCTCTCAGGATCTTGGGCACACACATACATGTGCCCAGCATGAGTTTAAGCCACCAGGTCTGAGACTCAAACCACAGTCGACTACATGGGAGTCCAGCAACATAGCCATTGTGCCAACTGTTGGTCCTGGTGCATCTTTTTTTAAATTTTATTATTATTATTATTTTATTTGACCCGAGAGAGAAAAAGGGAGGGAGAGAGAGATAAAAAGTGAGAAAGCAAGCCTCTAGGTCCAGGACTTGAACCATGGTGGGCCATGTGGGAGTCCAGCACCTTAACCGCCATGCCACCTGCTGGCCCAGTGAATGATGTATCTTAACTGTCATTGTGCACATGATTCCCTGGGATCTTGCTAAAATGCAGGTTCTGAGTCAGTGGGTCTGAGGTGGGGCTGAGGCTGTGTGTCTAACAGACCCAAGTGCTGTTGCTGCTGCTTCATGGACAGTTCCTTGAGGAGCAAGGTTGGGACTTGCATGGACCACTTTCCACCTTAGTTTCCCCCAGATGGACTGAATTAACTACAAATGGCTGTGCAGAATGCCTTCTGTTGAGGATTCTGACCTAAAAGGCAAGGAAATCTGGAATTTGGTTGGTTGGTTGGTTTTGATTTTTCAATAAATATTACATATCAATCCTGGCAAAGTACCATAAAATGTGATGCTCAGAGACACATGTTCCAAGGAGTCTGGTCTGTGTAGTTTCTCCCCCTCTCATGTCATCCCTATTTCTTTACCTACTCCTTCTTCCGAAGCTAATTTTCTGGGTTTGGGCTTTAATTTCCTCATCTAAAGACCAGGGATAGCCATATCTACCTAGAGCATTGTTCGAGGAATGGATAAGATAATGCATGTCATAAGCACTTGTTATACTACTACGAACTTTAAAATGTTACTTGATTATTAATTATCATTATCATCATTAATTATCTGTAATTATTATCACCATTGCCTCCCCCTGTTTCACCTCAATGTCTCTCTTGCATCAGGTGTAAAGCAAGATGCCACGCACTGGTGTTTCCCTTGTTCCCATAACAGGAAAAAGCTGCCTTTATCTCAGAGTAATGGGCTATATCGAATGGTATGAGATGTAGAATTTTAATAACTTGCTAATTTTTATTTTAACATGTTATTCTATTAGTTACTAGAAACATTTGGCATAACAATTAACAATAAGGAAACTAAGTAAGTAGGTGACCAAAAGGAAGAAAATCAACAAATGATCCAAAAACCAGTTGTAAATTAAAAGTAAAGATGTTGGAACCAGCAGATGGTATAATGGTTACATCGCCAGACTCCCACATAGTCAACCACAGTTCGAGTCCCAGATCCAGAGCCTTAAAACTCACATAGGGTTCATGTGTGTGCAGGCCCAAAATCCCGAGAAGAGAATGGAGGAGAAGGGATTATAGCATAGCCATATCCCCTGGTGGGGAGGTGATGTCTTGCTTTCTGTCTCTCTGTCTCTGTCTCTCTGGCAAGCATCCACACCCTATAGCAAAAATATCTCTTCAAAAAGAAAAAAAAGAGGAAAGATGTTCATGGAAACTTTGTATATACTGACAAGGAAATCGGAAACAGCCTAAAGATTCAGCATTCTAGTTAAAGGTAAGGGAAGCATGGCATATCTATACACAGAATATCGTGTACCTTTTAAATGCTTTGTTTAGACTTTTAGGGGCATGGAAAATGTTTATGACATAATGTTTAGAGTAAAAAAAAATCAGTCTACACATTGCTATATACCAAGTTAAAATATACACAGAAAACAACACAGGAAGGAAACGCCACAGTGAAAATTGTGGTTGCATCTGTACTTCTCAAATTCTCCATAATATATTGGGTTGTCGGGACAGTCATGATGCATTTTTGCATGGAAGAACATGTTATGACTTTCCTGACAACCTAATAGTATATTACAAGCACAGATCACAAGGCCAGACTTGCTTTGAAAATATTACCTGCAATCACTCTCATTGTTGCCATTCTTATTATCAAATAAAAATAAATAAACAATCAAGCAAAAAAAAAAAAAAAAAAAAAGTCAAGGAAAGCATATATAAATATGTGAGGCTAAGATTTGTTTCAAGAAAACACACACACAAACACATGCACTCACTAGAGACAGAGATAAAGAAAGAGGGAAAGTGAACAATCACCCCATAAGAGGTGATTTTGGTCAATGCACACATATGTGCCCAGTGTGTTTTTTTTTAATTTTTTTGGAGAGGTTTTTGCTGTAGGGCGCGTGCGCTTGCCAGACAGACAGAGAGAGACAGAGAGACAGAAAGTGAGAAATCACCCCCCAGAGGGGATGGCCATGCTGCGGTCCCTTCTCCATTCTCCTCTCGGGATCTTGGGCATGCACGTACACGTGCCTGGCGTGAGTCTAAGCCACCGGGTCCGGGACTCGAACCACGGTCGACTACGTGGGAGTCCAGTGACATAGCCATTATGCTAACTGCTTGTCCTCCCAATGTATTTTCAAGCCACCAGAGCCGGGATTCAAACTGAGCCAGGTCCCAGACCTGGTGGCTTGAAAACCACATCAGGCATGTGTCCATGTGTGCCCAAATTCACAGGAGGAGAGTGAAGGAGAAAGGATTGCAGTGTGGTCATGCCCCTAAGAGGTGATTTTTCACTTTCCCTTTCTGTCTCTGTTTCTATTCAGTGAGCACATAAGCCCTGTGGTAAAAATCGAACATATAGATATAGATAGATAGATAGATTGCTATTAACTAGACCCCAGACTCATTCTAAATCCATCTATTTTCCACATATATGCATTTTTAATTGCAGTAAAATGAGGTCTTTGAATGTTGGCTGATGCCTCCTCGTTTTTTTAATAATGTTTCAATGGTGAAACACTCAGAGGAGTTCATAAAACAAAAACGTACTATTTAAAAGAAAATGCGGGGACCAGCAGATGGCACAATGGTTACATTGCCAGACTCCCACGAAATTAACGTTGGTTTGAGTGCCAGACCCAGAGGCCTAAAACTCATGCTAGGTGCATGTGCATGTGTGCCCAAAATTCTGAGAGGAGAGTGGTGAAGGGATAGTGGTGTGGCCATCCCCTCGGGGGGGTGATTTCTCACTTTCTGTCTCTCTGTCTCTCTCTGTCTCACTGGTGAGCACACGTTCCCTATAGCCAAAAATGTCTACATAAATAAATAAATAAAGGACAATATGAAGTTCGAAAAACAGAATATCGTCAGTGTCATAGTATCGTTTTTCCATCTCCTGCCCCAGACATAATCATGACTCTGACTTTTATGTCAGCCATAGCCTAGCTCTTCTTTGTAAAATCACCGTCCAGCTTGTAACTCCCCTAATAAAGTAATTTTGCCGGTTTTGAGCTTTATATACATGAACTCATACTTCTTGTATTTTCTCACTCAGCATTATTTTGTGGTGTGCGTGCACCTGTGCTCGTTCGTTTTCATTGCTATATGATACTAATATATCTTTTTGATATTTCCTTCTGCTCCTTCCCGTCCCTGATTAAATAGACCTTCTGCCCTAGGAAATGGCAATATGACAACAGAAAGTCAGAGCTTAAAAATATTGTTTTGCTATTTTAAAAGCCCAGCTCTACAATGCTTTTTAAAGTCTTAAACAAGAGATTTATAACAGGTCTTCTCAATCTCCATCCTATTGACATGCTGGACCAGATTGTTCTCTGTCCTGTGCACTACAGAACATTTAGCAGCATCCCTGGGCTCACCCATCTGCTGCCAGTAGCATTAGTGTCCCTAGTGGTGACAACTAAAAATGCCTTCAGACATTGCCAATATTCTCTGGGAGGTAAATCACCCCAGCTAAGAACCACTAATGTAGAAGAGTAAGTACAGAACCACTCTACACCACGTCACCCTATCAAGTTCTCTAGATGAGAAAACCAGAGAATTACTGAGTATGAGGTTCTGGCAAGTACCTGTGAGGACTCCACACCTGTCCCCACCA